TGATCTACCTGAAAATGTGCTTCCCAGTTATGTTAATCCTACTTTCTCTTTTATAAACATCTTTCCATGTTTACCAACGGCACGCCTCTCACCATCTGATGTCTTATTAGGGTGCACTAAACTTAGTAAACATCTAAGACAGAAAGGGACAATTTGAAGTATTGTATAGATGTTGATACAACAAACGGCTTTAATGCCTGGGCAATGAATACAATTCCAAGTAATTTTCAATCCTTTGCTTTCAACAGAATTAATTGTGTTGTCATTTGAAGGATCACTGAAAACAGTTTTTGGTGATATATCACTAAGTAATTTTTGGAGAATAACTGAAGGAATTTAAAGAATTGAGTGACAGTGTATCAAAACCCTTTCCATTCCCATCAACTTAAGTGAACAAGTTTGTTAAGCAAAGGGTAAGACATCCCATCTATTTAAAAAAAAAAGCAGACTCAATAACAAATGATCAGAGAGGAAGTCAAGACAAATGAACCTGTTCAATTCACCATATTTAAGTGGAAACAATTTATTCCTTGAAGTTAAATTGTTAATATTTAACAGAAGGGTGAGTTGAAACTACCCTATTTGAATTAAAATATTTTATGTCTCCAAGTCCAAAATTCTGTGTGACAGATAATTTTGGTGGTGGGAGTGAGTGGTAAGCAACAGACAGTCCAGAATACTACTAAAATCATACAACGTATTAAACAGTTCGCTAATAAGAAAGGAGAAACATCTACATTACCATACATAATTCTAAATTGTGTATGTGATAAGAAGTTCTCAGATCTAATCTCTCAGCAACTTGAAAATTCAAAACAGTATAATAAAATATAGTCACCATGATACATCCCCATGACTTATTTATTTTATAACTGCAAATTTGTCCCTTTTGACCACCACCACCCATTTGCCCATCCCCAGCAACTACCAATCAGGTTTCTGTATCTCTGAGTTCAGGTTTTTTTTGTTTTTAGATTCTACATATAAACGAAATCATATGCCATTTGTGGTGATCATTTTGGAGTATACACAAATACTGAATCATTATGTTGTTCACCTAAATCTAATATAATGTTATATGTTAGTTATACGTCAACTTAAAAAGAAGAAAAAATACCATGTTCCATGAAAAGAAAAAAAAAAGGCAGAGACAAAGTGCAATGGACACTGACTGTAAATGACATGGTGGTTTTATAACTTTTTGTCACTTCTGCAAATACATATCCACTATCTAAAAATTGATGATTTTTATTTGCAGCAGTTTTTACTCTGCCTTTGATGAAGAAAGACTGAGTTATCAGGGAATCCTAAGGCTGTGTTCTTTCTATATGCACTTCAGTATACAAAATGTCTCTGACTTAACAATGGTTCAACTTACAATTTTTCAACTTCATAATGGTGTGAAAAGGATATGCACTCAGTAGAAACTATACTTTGAATTTTGATCTTTAGCTGGGCTGGTGATACACGGTACAACAGTGCTTCATGCGGCTGGGCAGTGGCAGTGAGCTGCAGCTCCCAGTGAGCCATGTGATCACAAGGGTACACAATGGATACACTTCACATTCGGCACTCATACAGCCATTGTTTTTCACTTGCAGTACACCATCCAATACATTACACTAGATAGTCAATACTTTATTATAAAAATAGGTTTGTGTTAGATGAGTTTGCCCAACTGTAGGCAAATGTAAGCCTTCTGAACACATTTAAGGTAAGCTAGGCTAAGCCACGATGTTCAGTAGGTTAGGTGTATTAACGCAGTTTTGACTTAAGGTATTTTCAATGCACTATGGGTTTATTGGGAGGTAAACCCATCATAAATCAAGGAAGATCTATACTCTGTCACTACAGAAACACTTCTTTACATTAAAAGAATGTAAATTTATAAGTCTAAACAAAAAATAAATCTTACCCTTGAAACAATCTATCCGAACACATCATGGGCACTTTTGTCTTGTCATAAACTATAATTCTCCCATTCCTCCAGCTCCTCAAGGTGAATTTACAGACAAGTGTGGCTATCTCTACTTTGAGCCAAGCTTATCTTTCACACAGGGAGTCGACTTCACATGGATTCTGTGATGATCCTTTGAAGGAGTTAGAAGAACCATATCATTTTATCTTCAGGCACGACTGCTGGTATAAAATCCCCATCCCATCTCTAGGGTTAGTGCGCAACCCACAAACACACACACAGACAAATAGCAACTCTGGGTGAGATTTAGCCAACTAGGGGGACTATCAATTGAAATTTTCCACTCTAAAACAATTTCATTAGAGATGGCCATGCCAGAAATGGTATTTTATAGTTGAGTTCCCCCAAATTACAATGCACTCCAATTCAAAGTCTATTATAATCTTTAGCAGAAGATTTTAAGACCATTTTTATTTACTCCAGACTCCAAGTGAACTTAGCAAAGGGCTTTTGCAATTTTTACATCAAGTGTTTCATGCTGTAATTAAGTAAGCGGAGGAGCTCAAAAGGAAGCACCAAGAGAAAGCACCAGGGCATCACTCATCGATTGGTGGAATTTTAGGGATTTAAAATTTCTGTTTTATTGTACAACGGCACTTTATTGCCACTTTATTCTTAAAATGTAATAAGTACAAACTGCTTCAGTAATGATGGAAAAGCTTTCTCAGCTTTAATGAAACCTTTTATTTCCTACTGAAACTTTTATTATTTCCAAATGGTAGCATAAGCAAGAAAAATAATCACTACTTACACTGAGGGAAAACTATAGCAATTTGAGTAACTTTTTCCTTGGGTGAATGTTAAGGCATTTAGAGTTTATGTTTACTGATTTCATTTATTCTTGAGGAACTAAAAACAAAAAATATATACATACTATTAAAAATCAGTTTCTAATCATGTATCAAAATACTAGATAGTTATATACAGCTATCACCTGTCAGATGGTGGTCTAATCTGGATAAAAGTTTCCATATACCTAGGGGTCCCACACATCCCAGCTGTTGACCTTGAGAGGCAGTGAGGTTAAGTGCCCAGACTCTAAAGAGAGGCTGCCTGCCTAGGCATTCCACCCTGCCCCCAGTACCTGTGAAACCTCTAGAAGTTTCTCAGTCCTCAGTTCCCCTGTCTGTGAAAATGAGGGTGACTAGAACCTGCCTTGTGAAGTGGGTGGGGAGATTAAATGAGGTATTGCATGGAAAACATTTGACTAGAGACTGGCACATGGAAAGTACTTAATAAATATTTAGCTCTAATATGTGGATGCATCCACCTCTCAACTGGATGCAGTCAGATGATACCATTCCTTCGACAACCACTAATTGAGCTTTATGCAGAACACTGTCTAGGTGAAGAGTGCACGAAGATCAGTAAGACATCATACCTGCTCTTTAGGAATTTACAATGTTAGTGCAAAATGATTGTTGCCATCATAATATCCTCCTTGAAGAACACAATGTAGCCTACTGTTTCACTAGATAACAAGCTTTCCTTTTACCCCTGTGCTGGAAACTAATGGAACTTCAGAAAAATTTCACTTCAGTTTTTGAAATCTTAATCATGCACAATTTAATAAGTAGCTACAGGTTTTTCCACATTTTAAAACAGATGATTAAATGGTCTAATCAGCTTTAACTCAGCCAAAAACTTGAAAAACACAGGAAGACAACCATGACTGACCATTCATTTTCCCGAATGTGGACATACTGCGAACAGCAGCTGCAGAAAAATAGTGCCATTTACTTCCCACATGACCCACGGCTAACTAAAATTGCACAGGAATTCAGCATCAAAGGGCTGCAATGTCTACACTAAATTCAGTTTGAGATAAAATAAGAAACTTGTTTAGTCAGAGCTGCATCACTTTCCAAAAAGTTCCGAAACCGACTTGCCAGCATGGCACCTTCTATAGGCTTTTAGCTTTTCAAACATTGTGTTGATGTCATTACACTCAAAGCATTCATTAAAATACAAAATCTTTAAGTTTGACTATAAATCTAAAGCACAATGACTAATGTGATTATTTCAGATATCACAAACTCCAAATGATCTTAAATATGTTGTCCTCTGCTAATTCACAGCTCTTGAAAATACGCAATAAATTCAGTTAAAAAGGAAAGCATCTTCAAACTAGTTGCAAGATCAACTAGGATATTATCTTCGTACTAGATGCATCATAACAAAAAAATCTAATATGCATTACATTGTTTAATGCAGGAGGAAATTGGATATTCTGTCTTCCAATAAAAAGATCAAGACATGTATATATATATATATACACACACATATATATATGCATGCGTATTTTTATACATACATTTTTTTTCTTCAGCAACCAATAATGGCTGTGTTAACTTTCTAGAACAGATTGAATAATTGCCAAGATACTTCTGAGGAGTTGCCCTACCCGAAGCAATTGCAGAGCATGTGTAAACATCCAAGCACGCAACTCCCTCCTTGTCTCCTTCCTTAACTGTGCCAGAACACCTTTCCTGGTCAAAATACTCTCAAAGGAACCTTATGAACCTCTTGAGATTGCGCAGGTCAAAATCCTGAAAAAAGGGTCACCCCTCACAATAATACCTCTCTCAACATTAAATCAACTCAGACCTCATTTGTATGCAGGACACCACAGTAAGAATTCATCGCTCAGTCCCAAATCTCCAAACGGATGCAGATTTTGGTGACCTCTGCCTTTGCATTTAAACACATGTCTCACACCACAGGATGCTCTTGATCCCAGCTAACGTCCTGCTTACTGTAGGCATTTTCCACACCAGTTTTTTAATCCTTACAGAATGAAAATTTCAAAAGAAGTGAAAGAAGCGAGTAAGGGGAGGGAGAAGGAAGCCTGGGATTTCTGCCATCCTCAACGCAACCCAGGATCCTATTATTAGTTTCCTCTTCCCCAGCCCCCCTCTGGCTCCGCTCTCGCCCCTTCCCTCAGCAGCAGGAGGGAGGAGGAGGGGCCGCCGGCTGAAGCCGCCACCTGCCGCGGCGTAGGAAAGCTCCAGTTGTCACTTACCCAGCGGAGTGAGAATGGCTCATTTTTGCAGGACCTCTTTGGGCCCCCACGGCAGGTGCGGAGGCTGGGTGCTTGGGGCCCCGTGGGCGCTGGCGCCGCAACAGGCGCTCTCTTCGCCGGGGGGACTCCGCACTGCGGCCGCCCGTGCGCCTGGCTGCTGGGCTGGGCCGCCGCGGCGCCTGGGCGCTCGGGCTCTCGGTGGCCTTCCCGGCCCCCACTGGCAGGCGGTATCCACAGCCTCCCGGTTGCTAAGGGAGGAGGGAAGGCAAGCGCGGAGGTACTGGAGAAGCCGAGGTGCTGCTGGAACAGAGCCTGTGGGAGCTGGAAGTGAAGCTCAAGTCTCCAGCCCTTTTTCTGGGCCCCGATGTGGGAGGAGACCCAGGCCCTTGCCTCTTGCTCTGTTGTTCTGGGTTACAGGTTCCCCAGGCACCTGCAATCTGAAAATGCGAACGCACGCACACATACATGCACGCCTGTTTAGGCTGATGTGCTTCCTGCTAGGCCCCAGGGAAAGGAGGGCTGGGGGTGGCTGAGGCTGAGGTGGCATGAGCAAGGGGCAGCTACATTGTGATGCCTTGGTTTGCAGCTGTTAGCTTCTGGAAGGCAAATTTAAGGGAATGAAAGAAGTCTTTCTCAGTCTGTTTCAGGTTTTGACTTTGTTTCTCTTTCCCAGCCGTTGCAATTGGCTCATTTATTTCTTGGGAAGGCCCCATCCTTGCTGCTAGCCCCCAGCAGACAGGGCTAACAGTTGTAACATTCAGAAGGTGGGAAAGATGCAGTTACTCAGTAAAACATGCTGGAATTGTATGTTTGTACAATGTAATCCAGTATATGGAATCCACACACCTGGATTCCTCCGGATGAGGAAGCCTGGATTTCAATGAGAGGGCCTTGGTGTGCAGAAGTGAAACACTGGATTCAGTTGACCTGTCCCTAGTCCGGTTCTTGCTTTGTTAGGAACAAATTTTGATCTCTGGTCTTAGATTCCTCACATATAAGTCACGAGTTGGACACATGCTTGGTGACTGAGCTCTTCATGGATCTCTATTCTAGCTTAGCCACACTTATAGATGGGAAGGGTGTCACCTCATTCATGGCTTTCTGCTTTCCCACACATCACAAAGGCCCCCTGAACATATCAGAGTCCAGCATCCTTTGCATCACATTCAAGACCCTTCATCATCTGCCCCCAGCATCCTTCACAACCCCAGTGTGACCACTTTCTCTACCTCTGCTTCTGAAAGTCCTAGCAAACCAAACCTTGCACAATCCTGCTAATGGAGGTATACTTCTTCTCTTAACCTGATAAACTATTCATCCCCCAACACTTAGCTTGCATGCTACCTTCTTTGATGTCCCCAGGTGTGTTGCTGCAACCCCTTTCCCCTCTGCCTGGACATATCCATTGTACACTCACTCCTGTACTGCATGTACTGCTGTATGGTTGCCTTTCTACTTGAACTTGAGCTCCTCTTTTTCAGGTGGTACATCTATTTTATTGTTCTGTATTCTCAGAAGCAAACAGTTCACCAAATGTTTGGAGTATAAAGAAAGAAAAATCTCAAAATGATAGCATTTTTACTGAGTACTTTTTAAATGCTCTACTCAGCCTTTTATTGAGCACTTACTGTTCATTATCTCATTTAATCCCCCCTTCTATGAGGCAGGATTTCTCCTCCACTTCCTAGCTATCCAAACTAAGACACAGAGACATAAATTATTTTGTGTGAAGTCTATGATAGCTCCTAAGTGGAAAAACCAGGACTCAAAACCAGGTCTGTGTGATTCCAAAGCCCGTAAGGGTTTTGTAACAACTAAAACATTCCTTTTTCCATAAATCCTGTGAATTGTCACATTAAGTCAAATTTCTATGAGCTTCCTAATCTGAAAGACCAGGGCCTTCCCAGTGATGGGGGTGGAATAGGGTTCTAATTTAGTAGCTTAGATCCTGAGACTGAGGGCTTGGGTTTGCTTTGGGAACCAGAGCGCTAAAGCTCAAGAGAGGCAGAAGTTATCAAAGAAGGAAGATGTGAGATGTGGAAGTGGCATCTTAGGTTAAAGAAGAAAGACCTTTAGGTACCTAATCACTGTGCAGCTGGAAATGGAACTTGAGCCAGTTCTGCCATTACGTCTATCTATCCCCACTGACTGGGATTCCCATCTGGGGAAGTCCCTAAGGCTCACTGCACGTTGGATATAGATTTCACCTGGATAAAAGTTGGCAGGCAGGGAGGAGGAACTAGGGGGAGACACCATTTGCCCAAGTGCTGCCAGCCCCTAAGGATGATGTAAATAATATAATCCTATATGGGTACTAGTTGTTACATATTAATTCATTTGTGCAAATAGAAAATGGTATTCTCTCAAATGGTGGAATGAGAAAGGAAATTAAGACACATAATTTAGATCCTCTGGATTCTGCAGAAAAGAAACCCTGGCACTCAGTGGACAGTAAAGCACCCTCAGCAGCATGTATTAATTCATAAATGGGGTATGAGTTCTCCACCCCTGTGAGCCACACAATTTCACATCCCTGATGAAAACTGCAAGGAAGCTACTAATTTTCACTTCAGAAAATGCTCACTGTGAAAATGTTTTTGGAATTCACCCAGAAGGAATTTTTATGTTAATTTCTTATATGGTGATAGAGAAAGAGAAAAAGAAAAAAACAAAATCAAACTGTTTCAGAGACTGAGTAGTCACTGGAGTCATTTTCATTTTCTCACAGGAAAACAAATCCCCAGACGTCCCCAGTAGTATTGTAAATTTGTAAAGATTGCTGTTTTGTAGAAAGACCTGTGTAGTTGGGGCGTAGGGGCAGGAGATTTATAAAAGTAGAGGGGAAGAAAAAAACAAGGATTACTCCTATGATTAAGGAAGTTTTTCTCTCATTTAATAAAGGACACTTCACATTCCATCTTTTGGTTGAGAGGAGGAATCGTGACTGCAGGGTTTGCCATCTGCACCTGCGCGGGGCTGTGGCCATAGAGAGCTCTTACCCCTGGGCAGAGCGGCTGGTGAGACAGGGACATGAAGAAGTGCTCTGATGTGCCCAAGTTCTGCAGCACTGGTCACAGCAGCATGAAATTTCCTGGCTTTGCGCCTTCAGTGTGTGCTTGGGTCCAACGCAGCAGCTGAGACCACTTCCTCAGCTGTAAGCCAAAAGGGGAGAAAAGCAAAATTGTTAACACTGGGGTTTGCCTGGTCTGGAGAGGCATTTAGCAAGCAGGGAAAAGAAGTCAAGGGGAGAAAATACAGCTTTACTGACTTAGGAGTCAAAGAAATGACAAAGAAAGAGGCAAAGTCTTAAATGGAAGTTACTTACTCATTTCAATTATCCACAATCACAGAAAGTTTGAAATACATACATGCCCTTCATTTTGTAAGGCAGCATGCCTTTGTACTTAGACTTGTGTAGCTATGCATGTAGGATATTGTAAATTGTGAGAATTTTTCTTCAGATGTACTAGCAAGGCCATGTGATAAAGAACTGGTTTAAAGAGAAGGGAGAGGCTCTGGCTCCCCTGTTTTGTCCATATGTAAGTCAAGGACCTGGATTTGAATTGGAATTCTGTCGCCACGTTACTATTCACCAACATGTGGTTCTCCACTTACGGTGACAGGAGAGGCTTTAATGTCTCCATTACCTTGAAGTCAGGTATGGCCTTAGGACTTGTTCAGGCCAATGAAATATGAGTGAAAAATAATGTTATCACTTCTAGATAGAATTTTTCAAAAGCTCCTGCAAGATTCTCCATTTTTCTTCCCCTAGCCACAGTCATCACATTCCAGATGGTGTTTCCACAGCCAGTTTTCGCAAATGAGAACAACATGGAGCAGAGGCCCCTCCACCACCCCAACATACACACACACACAAATCCATGGACAGGAACACCAATGGGGAACAAACCTTTGCCATTTAAAGCCACTGCCATCTGGCGGTGATGGGTTATCACAGCGACGTGGGCTGGTAGGGATTCATGCAGCCATGTAACGGCTATGTGAATTGGGGGAAGCAACTGACAGTCTCCAGCCCTGTTTTCTCATCAGAAGATCAGGAGAGCCTGGGATATAGCAAGCATTCGGAAAGTGGTAACTTCCTCATCCTCACAATATTGACTACACTTTAATAACAACCTACACCATGCCAGCCACTAGCTTCCCTTTACATACATCATCTGTCATTCTCAGGCCAATCTTATAAATCAGGTGTTATTGATCTTTTTATAGATGATGAAATCAAGCCCCAAGAGGTTTACCACCTTAATGAAGGTCAGCCAGCTTGTAAGTGGAAGAACCAGATCTTTCTGACCCAGAGCTCATGCTTTTCTACCACACCTCCTTCCCTTGAAGTAGCTGACTCATCTCTACGTTAGTGAGAATTGTTACAGTTATTAGGAATTAAGATCATCTTAACATTAAAGAAACAAATAAAATGGAAAATTTTAGAATTTTAAATCATCATCAGCATCTTTCTTCCTGAATGCCTTGGTTTTAATGAGTCCAGCGAAAGCCATACTCAGCAAGTCCTAATCTGGGGTTGCCAACCCCTAAGGGTTTATTAAAGTATTAATATGGATTTGTAATTATTCTCGGGATTTCCACAGGTCTAGAAGAAATAACATATTTACAGACAGGAAGATGGCTTAAGCTAAATAAAAATGTTTTCATTTTTTGTTTTTTTTATCAGAATTTATAATAAGTCATCTCATTGTGGTTCATTTGTATATTGGTACAAATATACTTTGGTACATTTATGATGATTTTTTTTAAGTACACAAGGAACTCTTCATTATAAAAATGTTGTTAAATGCTACTATGTACCAAATCTCAAAATGGGAAGGACAAGCCTAAATTTATCTTTTTCTCACCCTTGACAATTTAGCCCCTAATAATCAGTCCAGAGAGGTGCTGAGAAATGGCGCAGCAGGACATATAGATGGCAACCAGGGGAGAGTTGCCACAGGGCGCTGGAAGAGGGAGCAGCCAGGGAATGAATTCAGAGGAACTCACAAGAGAAGTAATGCGTCTAGTTAATTCAATAAAAGAAAAGCTGATGGATGAAATGAAAGTGACAGAATCAAAGTAACCTTGCCATTTTGGGGAACATGAGCAAGACACCTAGAATTTGGGGGATGATAATCTCACAGAAAATGGTAAGAGACTTTTGTAGGAAATGTGGGTCAAAATGGAAAGAGAGTCAAACTGGTGTTCTGTGGCCATGCCATCCTCTACCTCCCCTTGATGGGAATCTGCCACTCATTTTCAGACTGACTAAGTTAAACGCACTTCAGTCGTCCCCAGAGCAAACACAGCCATTAGGGGTGTTTCAAAGAGATCTTTGGTTCAGGTTTCTGGAGGACAGTGATAGGCCTTGTCATCAAAGCAAATAAGAAATGCTATTATAGTAATGTAATGACAATTTTTAAAATTACTGAATACATGCTATGTGCCAGGCTCTGTCT